TGTGTGTGTGTGTGTGTGTGTGTGTGTGTGTGGGTCTCGGTGTGCCTGTACGTGTGCGTGTGCACACATATTTCTGCGTGTGCTCATGTGAGTGGGCACGCGAGCGTGTGCGTGTCTGCGTATGCTCGTGTGCGCGTGTGCTCGTGTGCACACGTGTGTGTGTATCTCTGTGCACGTGTGCACGCACGCGTGCGTTTGGACGTGTTGGGATCTTGCTGTGCACAAGAGGCCTGCTGTGTCTCGTACTGTGACCACACTTTGAAAATACTCCATTGGCTGTGAAATGCCAACGGCCCTCAGAAGGTGGAAGGTGACAGAACAATGCAAGTCTCTCTGTCCGTAAGGAACTGGCGTCAAATTTGTGGTAAAACAGCATCTGAAAGGCGGGGAGGGAGAGGCGGAGAGGTTTAGGGAGGGAATTCTAGAGCTCAGGGCCCTGGGTAACTGGTGGTGGGAAAGCACAGGGACACAGTGGGGAATCTGTGCAGGAGAAAACCTCACTCACCCGGTTTTTCATGGCCCCTTCGTTGAAATCGCTGAAGGTCAGGAGGACACAGGAGTCAGAGCCTGCTCCCTCTTGGCTGCACGCTACCTGTTCCTCTTTCCTGCAGCTCAGCAGAGTCTTTTGCTGAGAAAGACAGGACAAAAATTATCCCATCACTGAATGCCCCGATTCTGCTCATTCAATTAGGTCGTTGGGGTCTCATTCCCCCCTGTAAAACCTCAAATCCCTCAACCTCAGCTGTAAGTCATTTCTACAACCCCGGCACCGCTGCTCTCTGGAGGGGACGACTCCTCAGGAGGCCATGTGTCTGAGGACAGAAATTCCTCCTCCTCCCCTCCACCTTCAATGGGAGGACCATCGTTTTTAAGCTGTTGTCCCCTAGATCTAGACTGCCCCTCGGAAGGGGAGCGCATCCGGCCTGCCTGAGGCTGACAGAATCCGATGGTTCCATCAGCTCGTCTTTGTTCCCCCTAACTCCCACGGACACAGGCCCAACCTTTGCTCACTGTCAGGACCCACTCAGGGAAAGTGTGTCAATTCTCAAACTCCACTACTCCCAGGGTCAAATCGTTTCACCCCAGTTGACGTGCCTGTTGGAAACAACCGAAATCAACATCCAGGTTCCCTTCCTTAACAAGAGCCACAGCTCATGACCAATACATAAAGGGTCATCACAAACTGAGCTCCCAGGAACTATCCACATATGGCTCTGCTGGTCACAATTCGAACCCCCCCAACACACCTGTACAGACAGCCAAAAGCAAACACAAAGATGATTGGGTTTTCGGGCTAGACACTGGGGAAACACGGCTCAATAGCACCAGTCCATAGAATCAGGTTTGAGTTATAAAGAGAGGCTGGGACTTTTTTCACTGGAGCATAGGTTGAGAGGTGGCCTTATGGAAGTTTATAAAATAACGAGAGGTATAGATAGGGTTAATGGTAGGTATATTTTCCCTAGGATGGGGGATTTCAAGACTAGGGGACACATTTTTAAGGTGAGAGGAGAGAGATTTAAAAAAGACATGAGTCAAAATTTTTTACAGAGTGGTTTGTGTGTGGAATGAGCTTCCTGAGGAAGTGGTGGATGCAGGTACAGTTACAACGTTTAAAAGACATTTGGATAGATACGTGAATAGGGAAGGTTTGGAGGGATATGGGCCAGGAGCAGGCGGGTGGGACTAAGTTTAGTTTGAGATTATGGTTGGCATGGACTGGTTGGGCCGAAGGGTCTGTTTCCTACCTGCATGACTCTATGATCCTTTTGGGTTGACAGGAATCTCTGTTGCAAGTCATAGAGTTATCTCTCCTACATTTCCCATTCATGTACTTATCTAAACGTCTTTTAAAGATTGCAACTCTACCCACATCCACCACTTCCTCTGGAACTTCATTCTACTCACTGTGTAAAAACAAATTGACTCTCATGTCTGTTAAATCTTTCTCCTCTCACCTTAAGAATATGACCCCTAGTCTTGAAATCCCCCATCCTAGGGAAAAGACACCTGCCATTCACTTTATCTGTGCACCTTTTTTGAATCTCAATTCTCCAGTTTCACCTACTTCCTCGCAGAAGGCGCACAGCAATTGGTACACTGGCTGCAAAATCTCTGGTGGCTGCTCCTTGTGGGAGAACGTAACTGGCTTCCTTTATGCCTGCAGCCGGTAGAGACACACCAACTCCCCCTCCGGCAGTCTAAAGGCTTCTGGGCTGCATCATTCACTTCCACAAGCTATTCAGCTACGCAGGAACCAATCAGAGATGGCACAAACCTTTCAGCTGTTTCTGGCCACCTCTGCATACAACCGCCTCCCAGCAACTTGCTGGCTACAAACAGCGACCCCTCATCGCTAGAACAAAGTAACAGTGTAAACACCGTCTACAGTGAGTTTCAGGAACTTTCTAAAGTGTAGTAATTCCCTCCACAATCCTTCAACTGTCCCTTTTCTTCTCCATTTCACTCAGAAATACAGAAAATTAAATGATACAGGCTTTACCCAATAAGACAAGCCCCTCCATCCCAAGGATCCAAGCTAAGTGAACCTTCTCAGACCTTACTGGTGGATGAGACCGGATTAGGGAGCCGTCAATATGAGACGGTCATGAACGAATCCAGTTGGGAATTCTGGAGAAACGTCTTCCCCCAACTAGACAGCGGGGAGGATGTGGCATTCTGTCCCACAGGGAAGGGCTGGAGTGAATGGAGTTGATGTGTTTTTGGTGGTGGGAGGGAGCGGAGAGGAGCTAGATAAACACATGAGGGAAAAAAGGAGAGTAGGAGAGGGTGATGGGACAGATGGGGAGGGAGGGAGGGGGAGCAGCCCTGTTGTGGAGCTAGGGGTCGGAGGAGGAGGCCCAAGTGGAGCAGAAACACCAACATGTGGCAGATGGGCTGAAGGGGCTGTGTCTGGTTTATAAACAGAGAGTAATGCTCCAGGAACCTACCAGATAGAGTTTCTGTAGGAACCGCGTCATAATGGTGAGGTAAGCTGCTGACTCCTTCACATCTTTGGTTCGCTTTACAAAGAATCCATCCACAACCTACAGCGCCAATGGACAAAGGATCGGTCAGAGCAAGCAGCGATTCAGGACAATAGCAGCAAGGGTTTAGCCTCAGACACCGAGCGCCCGCCCGCACGGAGACACCGAGGGATAGCAAGAGTCTGAGAGACAGAGAGAAGGGAAGGACAGCGAGGAGGTGGGTGCAAGAAAGGGAAGGTGGAGGGACGGAGAGATGGGTGGGAATGGGGGAGAAGGTGGTGGGGGAGAGAAGGGGGGGTGAGAGGGAGGTGCAAAAGAGAGGGGAGAGGGGAAGTAAGAGAGGGGGAGAGGGAGAAAGAGACAGATGGAGACAGAGAGACGTACAGACAGAGAGATAGCAGGGGGTGGAGGGGGGAATGTGAAGAGAGAGAGGGGGACAGAGAGATTAACCACAACACTAACAGCAGCTGGCAACAGTGCCCGTGATGGTGCCATGTGCCCTGCCCTTACCTGGGTGTTAACAATAGCTTGCTGCAGCGTACTCTCTGGCAAGCTGAGGTGTTTCACAAAGCTACAGTCCTCCACGAGATAGATCCGATTCCTGAGGCCACAGCGTTTCATCCGGAACTGTGGAGATGGGGAGACGGGGAAATAAAGCCGTCACTCACAAAGCACCTGGATCAGAGACTGACCTCGGGGGAGGGTCTGGGTTGTGCGGTATGACCCAGCGCACGAATGCCTCGTGCAATCTTGCCGAGCACTGAAATGGGAGCAGGCGGCCATTCGGCCCCTCAGCTGAAGCTTCGCTTTCCACTTGTGTTACTGAGCAGCAGGGAACTAACTTTCTCCGATTCCCACACCGGGATGGCCGGGTCCCTCTGCCTGGGGGAGAACCAGCTCCCCACTCCCCGACCCGACCCCACTCCTGACACCCCCCTCCACCAGCCACGTTGCTCAGAGGCAGCCGGAGACAGAGACATGGTGAGGTGACACGGCTATATTCTGCCAGCACTGTCTGAAGAAACAGACCGTTATGGGCTGAGGGCAGTTGGTGCCAGGAGGGGGTTCCCTCACGCAGAAACATACAAAATTAAAGGAGGAGGAGGCCATTTGGCCCCTCGAGCCTGCTCCGCCATTCAATACGAGCATGGCTGACCATTCGACGCCATCCCTGCTCCTGCTTTCTCTGTCCGTATCCCTTTTATTCTTGCGCCACAAGAGCTACATCTGCCTCCTTCTTGAAAACAGAGTGTTTTGGCCACAGTCACTTTCTGTGGCAGTGAGTTCCATGTGCTCACTGCTCCCTGGGTGAAGACATTTCTCCTCTCTCAGTCCCAAAAGGTTTAGCCCCTTATCCTTAAAGCCTGACCCTCTGGTTCTGGATTGCCCCATCGCTATGGGAACACCCTTCCTGTGTTTACTCTGTCTGGTCCTGTTGAGAATTTGAAAGGTTTCTATGGGACTCCTCCCTCTTTCTTCTAAAGCCCCAGTGAATATAGTCCTAACTGATCCGGTCTCTCTTCACAGGTCATTCCAAGAATCTGTCTGGGAAACCTCCGCTGCACTCCCTCCATCGCTAGAACATCCTCCCTCAGATAAGGAGACCCTAAACTGCACACAATGCTCCAGAGGTGGTCTCACCAAGGCCCCTGTACATCCCAGCTCCTGTAGCCCGAGCCCTCTCGCTATGAAGGCCAGTGTCCCCTTCACCTTCTTCACCGCCTGCTGCCCCTCCAATGCTTACCTTCAGCGACTTGTTCACAAGGACACCCAGGTCTTGCTCAACTCCCCACTCCCAATTTCTCTCAGTTTACAGCCAATAATGTGCCTCCCTGATTTTTACCTCGCGTGGTATCCCCATTAAACTGTACTCACACCCAGCCTGTCCGAACCATACCGCAATATCCCAGTCCAGCATCCGCTGCAGAGATCACCTCCTGTTCCCTCACCTTTTGCTCGCGGAAGCGTCCATCCACAATGCTGCCACACAGGTCATCCATCCTCTTCCTCTCCACCACATACTCCAGCACCAGCTCGCGGGCCCGATGGGAAGCTGGCTGATCTGTCAGGGAGAAAGGCTACCGCTTAGTGTGGGGGCCTTATCAGAGACTGAGACACCACCCTCACAGCCCTGCGAGAACTCCCAAGCCCTCAGTCCCTGCACCCACCACCAACTTCCAGTGAACCAGCGCCAGCTTTAACGTTGTACAGTATCCGCAGGGACCGGCCAGCAGAGCTTGCAATCTGACCCCGAGACATGTGATAGGAGGAAGGGCGGGGGGGGGGTGCGGAGAGAGAGACAGAGAGAGAGAGAGAGACAGAGAGGGGGGGAAACAAGGAGAGGGAGGGGGACGCAGAGTGAGACACAAATTCTTTGATGTCCCACACTGAGGATTTGGGCAGTAGGAGTCCAGCTCCCCAAATGCTCCACCGCATCTTGCCCTCCCTTTACAACCCTCCCCAAGACCACCCGAACACTTCCTGAGTCAGCCACTGACCTGACTGGGTCAGGACAGCAGGTTTCCACAATCCACGTTGGTGAATTTGTACGTCACTAAACCAGCTTTTAAATTCCGGATTTGTGAATTCAGATGTCATTGTCTGCCGAGGTGGGATTCGAGCCATCGCCCCCAGGACGTGAGAGTGGGGATTGGGATGGCAAGGCCAGTGACGAACTACAGCCTTCCCATTTCACATTGCTCATGCCAGTTGCTGTGGGTTTGATGTCACACGTAGGCCAGACTGGGTAAAGTTGGCAGATTTCCTTCCCTGAGGGGACATCAGTGACCCAGGTCGGTTTGACACCAATCGATGATGGTGTTATGGACAGATTTTAGAAAGTGGACTGAAATTGCTCGTGGTGCCGCAGGGAGATTTAAACCCCAGTTCTACAGCATTAGCCCAAGGCTGTGCGGGAGGGAGAGAGAGCGTGTGGTGTCTTCCTGCTCTGAACGGTTCAAAGAGCCTACTGTTTCCTAGTGGGGCTCTGAGCTGACCCTGTATGATTTGGAGGGTGGGTGGGGGGTGTTATCCGAGTCCTGCCACACTCCCGCACATACCTGGCTGGTGCTGCACCTTCTCTCGAGCAATCCAAAGGAAATCTCCGACGTGTAGCTTGCGAACGTCAAACTCGATCTTGTTCCTCTTCAGCTCGGTGACCAGCTCCCGCTTACGGTGACTTGCCCCACTGGGAGAACCACAAGGCCGAAAGTCAGGGAGGTAGTGGTACCGCTGTACTGCTGGAAAGGGAGGGAGGGGAACAGGGGGTGGGGTCGTGGCTCGCAACCTCAGTGAACTCTTCAATTAACCCCCCTCCCCCCGCCCCAGTCTACGCCAAACCTGGGAAGGACATTCTGAGGAGGGATCCCCGGGCCAGGAATTCTCTCTCTCTCTCTCTCAACCCTGTTTCTGCTAAGCCTTTAATTGAAGAGTTCACTGAGGTTGCGAGCCACGACCGCATCCCCAATTCCCCTCCCTCCCGATAAGAAGCAGGAGCAGGGATAGGCCACCATCTGGCCTCTGCTCTGCCATTCAACATGGCTGACCTTCTTGTGGACTCAGCTCCACTCACCCGCTCACCCTAACCCTTCATCCCCTTTACTGTTCAAAAACCTATCTTTGCCTTAAAAACATTCAACGAGGGAGCCTGAACTGCTTTACTGGGCAGGGAATTCCACAGATTCACAGCCCTTTGGGTGAAGAAGTTCCTCCTCAGCTCAGTCCTAAATCTGCTCCCCCCTTATTAATGAGGCTATGCCCCCTAGTACGAGTAAAACTCTCCAGTCCTTTGTGCCATTCCCTGGAAAACGCAACAGAAACCTTTTTTTTAAAGTCATCGCATGAGGGTGTCACTGGCCAGGCAGCATTTATTGCCCATCCCTAATTGCCCAGAGGGCATTTAAGAGTCAACCACATTGCTGTGGATCTGGAGTCACATGTACGCCAGACCAGGTAAGGATGGACAGTTTCCTTCCCTGAAGGGCATTAGTGAGCCAGATGGGTTTTTCCCAACAATTGGCAATGGATTCACAGTCATCATTAGATTCTTAATTCCAGACATTTTATTGAATTCAAATTCCAACCATCTGCCGTGGCGGGATTCAAACCCAGGTCCCCAGGATGTTATCTGGGTCTCTGGATTAACAGTCCAGCAATAATACCCCTAGGCCATCACCTCCCCATACACTCTCAGTTCTGATACTTTCACATCAGCCACGTTGGGGGGAGGGGGCTGGGGTGGGGGGGGCGGATCAGATATTGCTCCCTGGACACCCTGGCTCCCATCTGTAACTCCTGTCCCTTGTCCCAGACTCTTACCACCATTCCATCCCACCTAAAACAAAACCCACTGAGGAAACAGCTTCTCTCTATCAACCAACCAGTCCCTTCCAGTAGATCACCCACGATCTCCGGGACTTGGGAGAACACAAGGCCAGTCTGTCTGAGAAGGCCTCATGATTGAACCCTTTCCTTACTGAGCGAGTCAGCTCCTCCAGGGAGGGGCAGAGGGGTAAAGGGGAGCAATCGAGGAGGGAGAGAGATGAGGAATTTGGAGGAGGAACAAAGCCGAGGGTGGATAGGGAGGGAGTGAGCAGAACATCAGGAAGTGGTGCAGCACAAGAGCATGGGCAGGATTGGGAACAGGGATCCCAGGAGCAGCAAAGACAGACAGAGAGAGACACAGAGAGATATGCAGGGAGATAGAGCAAGCGAGACACGCACAGAGAGAGAGAGAGAGACACGCACAGAGAGAGAGAGAGAGACACGCACAGAGAGAGAGAGAGAGAGACAGAGAGACACGCACAGAGAGAGAGAGACACGCACAGAGAGAGAGAGAGAGAGAGACACGCACAGAGAGAGAGAGACACGCACAGAGAGAGAGAGACACGCACAGAGAGAGACAGAGACACGCACAGAGACAGACACAGACACAGAGAGAGAGAGAGAGAGAGGCACAGAGGGAGAGAGAGAGAGAGAGGCACAGAGAGAGGGAGAGAAAGAGAGAGAGACACAGAGAGAGGGAGAGAGAGAGAGAGACAGAGGTTGTTGACTTGCTCGCGGAGCTGGCGTGTTTTCGTTCAGATGTTTCATCACCATGCTAGGTATCATCATCAGTGGGGCCTCCGATGAAGTGATCTTGTTCTACCCTGCTTGGAATTTAAACTGTCCGGTCCGTTACGGTGAGTAGTGTCTTTCAGGTTTTGTTCTAGTTTGTACATGGTTTCTATATGTTTGTTGATTACATTACGGGTTGGGAACCGTGCCTCTAGGAATTCCTGTGCGTGTCTATGTTTGGCTTGGGCTACTATGGTTACTTTGTCCCAGTTAAACTGATGGCCTTCATTGTCCGAGTGTACAGATATTAAGTTTGTCGTGCCATTTCGCTGCTAGCTGACGTTCATGTATTCTGATGGCTAGTTTCCTTCCTGTCTGTCCGATGTAATGTTTGTGGCAGTCATTGCACGATATTTTGTAAACCATGTTGGTTCTGCGTGTTGTGGAAATGGGGTCTTTAACCCTTGTGAGTGTTTGTTGTAGAATGGCCGTGGGCTTGTAGGCCCCATAATTCCTAGTGGTCTTAGGAGTCTCGTTGTCAGTTCCAATATGTTCTTGATGTAGGGCAGTGTGGCCAGTGTGTTAGGGTGTATTGTGTCCTCCTGTTATTGTCTATTTAGTAGGTATCTACGGATGAAATTGCGGGGATATTCGTTCATAGTGCAGATTTTGTATTGGCGAGCAAGTCAAAACCTCACCCACAATCCAAGCTACAAATCTTTGCTAAAACTTTAGAGAGAGAGATATATGCAGGTAAGGTGGGGGAGAGGGAGAGGCACAGAGGGAGAGGGAGAGAGACAGGGTGAGGTGGGGGTGGTGAGAGAGAGAGAGAGAGAGAGAGAGAGAGCGAGAGAGAGATGAGGTGGGGGAGGTGAGAGAGAGGAAGACAGACACGCAGACAGAGAGAGAGAGGCACAAGAGGGAGAGAGACGGGGTGGAATGGGGGTGGTGAGAGAGAGAGAGGCACGCAGACATACAGAGAGAGAGGCACAGAGGGAGAGGGAGAGGGAGAGAGACAGGGTGGGGGGGTGTGAGAGAGA